AACGCTGAAAGCACACGCTTTCCGGGAGAAAACTGCCACAACTGTGGGATAGGAAAGACTTTCTTAGACATGACACCACAGGTACAAATCATACAAGAAAAAAATGTGATAAAAACCATCAAAATTTAAAACTTCTGTTCTTCAAAGACAATGCTAAGAAAATGAAATACAAGCCACAAACAGGAAGAAAATATTTGCAAAGCACTCTTGTGATGGACTCGTATCCGGAATACACGGAACTCTAAAAAATAACAAGAAAACAACCCAATTAAAAGGGCAAAGGATTTGAACAATTTACCAAAGAAGGAATAGAGCAGCCACTAAGCCCATGAAAAGTCCTCAGCGCCGCTCTTCACGGACACGTAATCAAAACCACAGTGAGACAGCGCACACCTATGGGAGTAGAAACGTTAACTAGAGAATAAAAACTCAGAGCTCAGGGCCGGGCAGGATACAAACACCTGCTGCTCTCACCCGCTGCTGGAGAGAAGGCGGACTGGGCGGCCACCTGGAGACACGGTTGGGTAGTTTCTAATGAAAGTAAACACACACCCTACAGTGGGCCCAGCAACCTCACTCCCACGTATTTATCTCAGAGTAAGAAACAGAAACATTCTCCACATAAAGACCTATCCAAGAATGCGTACGGTGACTTTATTCATAATTCCTGAGGATTAGACACAATCCAGCCAGTGGATCAGGCCACTGAGGTGCGTCTGTATGATGGAAACCCACGGGCAGTGAGAGGGGGCAACCTGGCTCACAGCCACACAGCGCAGGACCAGCGCGGTGGCAGAGGGCATGGTCCCTCCAGGGTTTGACTCACGTGGCCTCCTGGAAAAGGCAAAATGGTGGGAACAGGCCCCAGAGCAGTGGCTGCCAGGGGCTGCGGGCCAGGGCAGGAAATCCACCCCGAAGGAGTATTCTGGGCTGTGGGAACGTATCTCAGCTGTGGTGATATCTACACACCTGCATACGCTGCCGAAGGCTACACCTAAACACTGAACTTCACCCTTATGTCAGTTGCAGACCACCTGATTTATACACAAAGGATGGAGGTCTCAGCAGGGCGCGGTGGCTCCTGCCTGTAATCCCAGCACTTTGGGAGGCCGAGACGGGTGGATCATGAGGGCAGGAGATCGAGACCATCCTGGCTACCACGGTGAAACCCCGTCTCTACTAAAAATACAAAAAATTAGCCGGGCGTGGTTGCAGGCGCCTGTAATTCCAGCTACTGGGGAGGCTGAGGCAGGAGAATGGCGTGAACCCGGGAGGCGGAGCTTGCAGTGAGCCGAGATCGCGCCACTGTACTCCAGCCTGGGGCACAGAGCGAGACTCCATCTCAAAAAAAAAAAAAAAAAAAAAAAAAAAAAAAAAAAAGAAGAAATGAATGGAGGTCTCACTGCACCCCCACCCCATTGGGAAGCCTCAGAGAGGCTCTAGGGGCTGGAGGGGCAAATGGAGGGGGACGTGGAGCTACCAGAGCCGCCCGGAGGAAGGCGGAGGCCTAGCGGGAAGAGGAGGGAGGCCCAGGATGGGGGGTGGAGACCCCGATGCTCCTGACTGACAGCAGTGAGCCAGGCCCGGGGCATTTCCCGGTTCTCGCATCTCCTGGGAGCCACAGTTTCTGGTCTGTGCTCCGTGGTGCAGCGCCCGGCAGCGGAGCCCAGGCAGAGGCCGCCTCCCTGCGCCCGGAAGCCTGAAGGCACCTGCGCCCCGGTGTCCCGCAGGCCGCGGCCCTGCGGCTGGGAGCCCGGCTTGACTGACAGTTGCCACCGGCAGCAGCGCTGTGGGCCGCGGACCGGGGACAGAGATGGCCGGTGACGCCGCCCAGGGCCGGCCCACGCCGGACACTTCTTCCCTCTGTGCCTGCTGCCCCTGGGAGGCTTCCGACCTGCAGGAGCTGACTGCAGCCGGTGGAGGGGCGGGGTGGGCGGGGCAGGGCTGAGGGCGGGGCTTTATTTCCCCGAGTCTCCCGGGCGGCTTCTGCTGCCTTTATCGGTTTGAGTCGCCACCGCCCTCCCCCTCCAGGCTAAAGATGCCCTCCCGGCCCCAACCCACACCCCCGACCCCATAGGAGCGCGTCCCCACCTGCCAGTGCACCCCTCACTCCTGGACCTGAACTTGCAACTGAGCACAGCTGTGGCCGCCCCAAGGAAACTCGCTGCCAGGTGGGGTTTCCTCAGGGCGTGGGCAGCTGCTAGAAACAAGAGAACCAGGAGAACCACGCAGCCAGGAAGCCAGTGGCCACCGCGCACTTCCACCCAGAAGCGCATTCCCCAGAACCTGGTGTTTCATGCCCAGTAACAACCTAACTACCATCATAACGATAAATCGTTACCGGAGATCCAGCCATCCATCCATTTTCATGGCTGTAAACGCCATAGTGAAACATCTAAGTCCAGTCACCATAACCGTAAAGCCACCAAAAACTGCTAGCAGATGACGTCAACAGAACGATTAATAAACATCTTATTTGGTTATTTTCAGAGCACAAAACTCCGGAACTAACTTGATCAGTTTCTCTTATTAAAATGTGCAAAAAAATTTTTAAATTTCTTTTTCCTTAGGGTTATCACTCAAAAAATGTCTCATACACCTTCGAGAATGAATTAAGTCCCTGTGAATTCTCGCACATAAACTGAGCTGGTGATGAGGCCTGACACGTGGTGCCCAGCACAGGCTGAGCCCCGCCAGATACACCATTAGCCTCGGCTGAATAATCTGGATTCCACATCTCCCTTTCTTCCGGGAAAGCCCTTGGAGGCCCCTGGCAGGTGCTGAGAACACGGGAGCGAGACACAGGCATGCAGGACTATGGGCTCTGGGAAGCTCCGTCCGGTGGACACAGCACAACAGGCAGAAGAACCACAACCAACGAGGGTGGCAGGGGAGGCAGGCCACGGAGGGCAGCTGCAGGGTCAGAGGCCGTCTCCTGCAGCAGGCCCCAGTCCCGGAGGCGGGCATGGCAGGATGTGGGGATGGAGGAGGAGGTGCCTGAGGAGCGGGGTGCAGAGCAGCTGCACCTGGAGGCAGGAGGGAGAACTGCCAGCCACTAGCCCTGGAGCCGATGCCCTGGTCAGAGGGAGAGAGGAAGAGGAAACCCTTCTTCAGCGCCCAAACAGCTTGAACGCGACTCGAAGCTATGGGCGTGAACCTGAGGGCCTCCCAGGCAGACACTGAGCAGTGGGGTGCAGGGGTCATGCTGGACCCTCAAGACCATCTCACCAACAACGCTACACGAGGCCCAGCACAGCAAGACCCTGAAGGGGGCCAGGTGCCCACCGCACTCAGGAGCACAAACACCTTCTGCAATCGCATTTCAGGGCCAGGGTGTCCGCTGCGGAAGCACCCGGCACAGCGTTCCTGCTCAAAATGAAGTCAAATGTCAATTATCTGAGATCCATGCGACCCATTCCATGTATTTTCTAAACAAACTCTGGAGACTTCTATGAAAAGCACAGCAGTTTCTAAGAATAATCATTTGGGTACAGCGAATAACAGTCCCAAAAATGTCCAGGTCCTGACCCATGCAATGGTGAGGGGGCACAGGCCTTATCAATGCCAGGTGAGGGTCCGCCCAGCCCCAAGGGCCTCTGGGGTCACAGCTGCCACCCAGCCAAGCCCATCTCAACGCCAGGCAGAGCGCGAGACCGGTCAGGATGGGCGTCTCTCTCCTTGTCTCTGTCAGGGGACTTGCCGTGGAGGCCCGGGACACAGCAGAGTGCAGACAGGAGTCTACCAGTTACCCGCTAGCCAGTTTCTCTCATGCCCTCTCTCTCCCTCAACGTCGTGCTGACATGCACTAGCTGCCGGCCGCCCAGTGGGGACAGGCTGGGTTTTAGGACACTCAAGCTCTGACGTGGACCTTTGGCTGTGCCTCTCACGCTTCTGTGTGCCAAGCACCGGGAATGGATCAGATCACAGATCCTGGTCCACAGCTCACAAACAGAGGGACACGGACGATGATGAAAGCCCACAGCTGAGGGACACCGGTGAGCGCTGGGGAAAGGGGGCAGCTGGCGTGGGACGGAGAGGCCATGACGCGGTATGGGGAGCCAGTGTGAGCAGTGAGCGTCAGATGGACGCGCCCCCCACCCCCCCCACGCACCCTCGTGGCCTCGCTGGCCTCCTGCACCCGCGGACCCTCAGGCTGCCTGGGGCAGAGCTTGGGGTCCCCCTGGGGGACTCCTCCTCCCGCCCTATCCCACTCAGCATTCCGGCAGCCATGGAGACGAGGAGCCTGCACCACCCGGGGTCTGGGCTCAGGCTGTGGCAGCCAGTACACACTGGCTCCCCGGCCACCTGTCCCGGGCGTGAGCTCAGGTGCTGCAGGACCCTTCTCCCTTTCTGGCTCTCCCGGCGTCACGGCGGGAATTAGCCTGATACCCCAGCCTCCCACACCTGCTGCGTGAGGTCCGCTCCTGATGGGGTCCTCTGGCTGCATTTAGGAACAAAGAGCTCCCTGAGTAACCTGAAGTCCACTCTGCCAAGAGGCCCCACAACTTACAGGATGCTGCCTTCCTGCGATCCCCGGCAGGGCTGCCCATGAGCTTTCTCCAAGAAAACCGGGGAAAACTGAGACCACACGCCCCCACCCCCACCCGCCCTTCCCGTGCCCACACTGTGGGGACTGAAGTTGGGACAGGGACAGCCAGGATGTGGTGAGGAGGGAGGGCCCCATGTCCACGCAAAGGTCCCCGCGCGGATGCCCCGGGGAGAAGCCCTGGGAAGTTGTCTGAAGAGGGTCGGGGACGCTGTGCTCTCGCCTTGAGGGGCCACGGAAGCCTCGACTGGCAGCGCTTACTGACCTGAGCCTTGCATGATGCTCCAGCAGGGACCACAGACGCCAGGCCAGATCCCAAGAGCGGATCAGGAGGAACATCCAGGGCTGCCGTGACCCCTCAGCACCATCCCGCCAGGCTCCGGGCTGAAATGCTAATACTCCCCTGGCACAGAACAGGCGGAAAAGGGGAAGTAAATGCTCATTCATCACCTACCTATGATGGAATCCCTCCGGAAAACGTCTCTATCGAAAATGTAGAAGGACAGGTGACGAAAGCTCCGAGGAATTTCACAGTAAAAGTCTTCTCCGTAAAAGGGGCTGGAGAGAAAGAAAAGCACCAGTTAGAACACAAGCCACGCTCCCGCCTCAGCCCCAGGGGCACACACGTGTGCTCTTAGTTTTAAACGTGCCATGGGAACGCCCTGCACTGCGTGGCACGTGTGAGACATGAACCTGCAGCTCCCTGCGGGGTGAAGAGTGTCGTGGCCACTCCCCGGCCTCCACCTCGAGCCTTTGCACTGCACGGATGAACTGTAACTGGGCTGCCTGGCGGTCCAGGACGCTGAGAGACCTCCACAGAGACCATGGTCACTGCCTGAATGACTTCCATGGTACGTGCTCAGGTCTAGTCCAGCCTCAGGGACGCTGTGAGGTTTTGAAGGTACCTGGTTTGGGGCAGGTGGTAGCTCCCTTCATGGATTGAATGTAAAACACAGCACTCCAGTGCCTTGCCCGGTTCCTTTTATCCAGAGATCCAGTACAAAGTCCTGACTGCCCAGCCGTCCTCACTCCTGGGGGAGGCCCCCGCGGCTGACTGTGCTTACAGAGTACACGGCTCAGGCTGCTCACGCGTGAGTCACCTGGAGATGCAGCCGCCCCACAGATGGAGACTTCAAATAACTGCAACCCCAATAAAGAAGCAGAAGCCAACGGGCTTTGCCATTCAGCAAACCCCCCTGCTGTCCTGGGCCGGCACAGGTGGGGTTAGGTTCCTCCCCGTGCCGGACCTGTTGGCGATTACTATGGCGCACGCACAGCTACCACCAACTCAGAACTCAACACAAGCCCACTTTCACACACATTTATGCTAAGGTCCAAAATAGGAAAGATGTAAGTTATTCAAGGAGGAACCATTCTGATAGAGAGCAAAGGAAGGTCAACGGTGCTGGGCCAGGTGATCGTCCACACAGTCACCAATGGCGCAGGCCCCACCCCAGCCACACGCAGAAATGAGCTCAGAGCCCGCACCCATGTGTAAGGGTGTAAGGGTTGGAGCTCCCAGCCTCTGAGAAGAAAACGGGGATGAACCTGCACCCAAAGATGCCTTAGGTCTGTCACCCAAAGCACAAGTGCCAAAAGAAAAATAAATGGAAAATCAGACTTCCATCAAAATTAAAAACACTAAAAACTTTTTTGCATTAAAAGCGTTATTTAAAAAGTGAAAAGGGCCAGCATGGTGGCTCACGCCTGTACTCCCAGCACTTTGGGAGGCTGAGGTGGACGAATCACCTAAGATCAGGAGTTCGAGACCAGCCTGGCCAACACGGCAAAACCCTGTCTCTACTAAAAATACAAATATTAGCAGGGCGTGGTGGTGGGTGCCTGTAATTCCCAGCTACTCGGGAGGCTGAGGCAGGATAATCGTTTGAACCCGGGAGGCGGAGGTTGCAGTGAGCCGAGATTGCACCACTGCACTCCAGCCTGGGTGACAAGAGCAAAACTCAGTCTCAAAAAAATAATAAAAATGTAAAAAATTACAAGTTAAAAGACAGACTAGAAAAAATATTAGCATGTCAGTTATCTGATAAAGGACTTGTATCCAGAATATATAAAGAACTCTTATAACTCAATAAATGATGACAAATAATTCAGTTTAAAAAGGGGCAAAAGATTTGAACACCCATATCACCAAAGAAGACAAATGACCAACAATGTATTAAAAATGCTCCGTGTCATTAGCCCTTGAGAAAATGCAAATTAAACCAGGAGATACAGCACAGGCAGAGGCCCAAACCTCGGGCCGCGAGCGTTGCTGCCCGGAGCCCACGTGGGAGGGGCCTGGAGTCCAGGCCCCAGCCCCTCCCTCTGCAGCGGCCTTAATAACCGGCATTTCATTTGGATTTCACTGATTTCATAATTTTTATAACTGGGTCAGAGACTGAGTAACGTTTACTCAGAAAACCATTTTTTGTCATAAAACACAATCTTCCAGAGGAGGCCTAAAATACCTACATTGTCGTAAGCATTTTGGAAACACAGCAGTATCCATTTACACACAAAAGAAACATCTCTTTATCTTTCAATGAAGGCAGAATGCTCAGGGACTTCCACCCACTTCCTCGTAGCAGAATCCTGGTTCATGAAGGCCCATTAGAAAGTCACATTTCCTTTAAACACATTCTCACGTTGGTCGTTGTCGCAGGTGCTCGAGTGCCTCTGATTTTCCTGGGTCTGCCTGGGCACCGCCGAGATCTGATGTCAGGGACCCCCAGGGAGAAACACCCTGTGCCCGTGGTGTGTTCCCACAGGCACATGTGTGGGTGTGTGCATGTGTCTGCCTGTGGATGTGTGTGCCCACAGGCACGTGTTTGTGTGTGCAAGTGTGTGCCCATGGGTGTGTTCCCACAGGCACATGTGTGGGTGTGTGCATGTGTCTGCCCGTGGGTGTGTGTGCCCACAGGCACGTGTGCGTGTTCATGTGTGCCCGTGGGTGTGTGTGCCCATAGGCACGTGCTTGTGTGTGCATGTGTGTGCCCGTACGTGTGTTCCCACAGGCATGTGTGCGTGTTTGTGCGTGCAGGCATGCACCCGGAGCACTTGGGTCACACGTACACAAAGGCACCACAGATGCGCCCTGCACAATGCGCTGCTTTCATGACAAGGCGAGGGGTTGTCACCCCGCCCCCACCCTGTGTAAAGTCACAGCTGCAGGATCTCGGGGCAGGACGCACACTCCCCAGGCAGCGCCCTGCGGCCTCCCCGGAGAAGCTTGGTGCTCTGCAGACAGCGTCCCCACTGGCAGGAAAAACCACCGTCAACCTCGAAGCCAAAAGGAACACCAGACGCGCATTTTAATATTCACGACAAGGCCTCAGGTGACGAGCTACTCACAGGACACACGTTAACAATTAATAGTAATTCACAAAACTTTTGAGGTTTTTACAACGACAAAAACGGCCTCTTCTGTACATCCCAGAGCAACTTTCAGGGCCACTGAGGCCGAAGCGACGGCACGAAGCCGTGGCGCCTGAATGCGCGGACACAGCCTGTACTCGGTGTTTCCAGTCCCGCTCGCTCCCGGCAGAGCCCGAAGAACCAAGGGCTGGAGGCTTCGCTTACTGCTCCAGAATGGCAGGTGCCCAGGCTGTCCCAGCCGCGGCGCATCTCACGCGAGAAGCCCAGTGGGAGCACGCACAGCTCCTGGCCTCGCGGCAAATGCGTAACCAAAAGGTGTAAATCAAGCTTCATTCACCACGGAGGAACCTCAGAACCACAGGCACCGACAACCAAGCTGACCGAGAATGGAACGGACACCCTCCACTGGCACACACTCCAGCAGCCGGCTTGTCAGGAAGCTGTGGCAGCTTCAGAGCAACCCAGGGCTCGGGGTTCACCTGGCCACCGAGCCGTGAGAGGGCATCACGCTTCCCAAGAGCCCCCCACCCCCCACACAGACACTGAGGACCCCACCACGTGGGCCTGTGCCTGCCTCGCAGGAACGCGGGGAGGAGGAAGTGGGTCAGGCTGGACTGCAATGTCTGATGTGGTGTCCAACGTGTGTCCAGTGCGTGTCCGATGCGTGTCGTGCATGTCCGGTGCGTGTCCGGTGCGTGTCCGATGTGTGTCTGGTGAATGTTCGGTGCACGTCCAGTGCGTATCCGGGGCGTGTCCGATGCATATTCGGTGCGTGTCCGGTGCATGTCCGATGCGTGTCGAGTGTGTGTCCGGTGTGTGGTGAGGGGTGGTGAGATGAGGATGCCAGCGTTGACCACACCCCACACACAGGCGCTGCGCACCTGGCCTTTGACCCTGCACACTTCCTCACCGTCCCAATGCACAGGGTGGGAAACCGAGGCACTCCAACATCTGATGAAACTATCCCAGGGATCGTGCCGTGTGACTCAGGCCATGCTGTGTTGCTATAAACCGCTTTTACGTTTAGAAAGGGGCACGTCCAGTCTGATAATTTCACGGAGTTCGTGTGTTTTCTAGTAGCTTCCTCTTTCTGCTATTTTTATCTCTTTTTATTGAATGGATTTCTGGTTTATTTATGAATTTTAAACACCTCAATTTCCATGGACAGGTGTCAGCACCACCAGAAGCCTCACGGGACCCTTCCAGGTGCCCAGCCAGCAGCCTCTGCCCCGAGCCCGAGCCTCCGCCCCCCCGAACCCCCACCGCCAAGCAGAGTCACAGTGAGAGGAGTCACTTGGCAGAGCAACGGAACACCTGTCTACCGGGCAGCGCCCAGGGACACCGCGCCTCAGCCCTGCTGCCCAAGCCCTGCCTCACTACCCCCGGGGAGCACGACTTCTTCCGGCCTCCACCCAGGAATTTCTCGAGCAACGGCTTCGGAAACCTTGCTCCGGAATGGCAGAAGGGAGGCAGCACTTTGGGGTCCTCTCTGCCCCCCGCTAAGAAGAGCTTGGTCCTCGGGAACCTCGCGGTCTCCCCTCCTGGAGAAGAAGAACGTCGCACTCACGTTTCCATTTTACACCTTTGCAGCCGAGAACGCTGGAGCCAGAACGGGCTCCAGCAAAGGCGACGGTGAGCATTTTGCATCTCTGATGTCGTTTACTCTACTGGCTCCAGTTGCCTATTTTCACGTTTTCCCCCTTATTTCACATAACTTTTTAAACTTCATAAAGTTATGACTGACTTTGTTTCCTGCAAGTCACCTCAAGTCTTTCAGGAAACCAGGCAGGACATCTGCAGGCAGCTGGCCGGCCTTATCTACGGAGCCCTGAGCCACCAACCACCGTGACCAAGCGTCATGCCCGCGAGCCGGACAAGCCCAGGAGGGGAGAGCGGCTGGACTCCGGACGCAAAGTCCACACGGACGGAGCAGGGGGCAGGGCTGCCTGTGAGGAGGGATTTAGACCAGGAGGCCGCTGGGGAGGCTGCCCAGAGGAGGAGGCTGCCCAGAGGAGGGGGCATCCCACGGCAGTGGGGTCCGGAGAGGCGGCAGCGCTGCAGGCCTTTGCGCTCATTTTAATGAAGGCTCTGCAGGGTTTCAAGGAAAGATGGAGCCGGTCCCTGTGCCAGAGTAGAGGGTTCGTTCAGCTTCTCAGACCGGTGATTTATTTAGGGAATAAGAA